TAAAATTATAAAAATAAAGAGATGTTGTATAATTGCCAATGAGACAACTTTCCACTCAGGTTCAAATAAAGTAGATGCAAGCAATAAGAGGCAACGTTTCGGCCTTCAACAATGAGGAAAACCGATACCTTATAGTCGATTATGAAAGGCCAAGACATAACAAAAAATGTGGAACAAATCAATTGAGAAAAATAACGGCATTATTCATAACAAAACAATTTGGAAAAAACAAATATGACTGACATGAACCATTACAACCACTAGATTACAGGTTCCATACTTCGGACAGGCACATACATAATGTGGCGGGTTTAAAAATGTTTGTGAGCGCTCAAACTTTCTTCTAAGCTGTGACAGTGGTTGTATAGCATAACATATGAACAAACTATAGAAATTAGTTGAAAATGTCTTATCTCATTAGATCGATACAAACAAAAAAACCTCTAAAATAACCATAGACCGGACGGGGCAGGGTATTCATACATCCCTTACAACAAAAGATAAAAAACAAAGTACAGATCTAAGAGTATGGATGTTTCAACTCATGGTGGGGTTCAACTTGTTTTCTTAGACTAAAACGGAGCCTTCCGACTATATGTTTAAGCTACAGTAGTGAAATAATTAAAGAATTAAATGTCTAAAAAAGACCGAATGATATAAACATACAACAAAAGTACTTACATGTAACTCTTTACTATATAGGTATAACATAAAAGTACGTTAATTGATTTTAAGACAGAGACAAATTGTTCCATCAACAAACATATATAAATATGTACTTACATGTACATGTATATATAATTAAAATGAGATTTATAGATTAACTTATCAAAGAATTCAAATAGAGAAAATTATTCAACGAGTGACCGAACAACACATGAATTCACTAATGCGCGTAGCCTATTTGAATTTTTTGATTAGTTATTCTTTTTATTACATTGGCAAATGGCTTTTTTTAAGTAGAAAGGGTACGAAACTTACATGTATATATAATTAAAATGAGATTTAAATTTCACACACATTATTTGATAAGAAGATGCCAAGTCAATAGCTGATGAAAAAACGAAATTAAGCAAACACATGGCACATGTACATGTGAACTCGTGTGGACCCCGCAACATGATTGACCATGAAGAAAGATGTAATTCATATCATGCACTGGTCATTAGTTATTTCTTTGCACGTCTACTGTCATAATCATAACAGACTTCATGCACGGATCCAGGCTTTGTTGTTTATGAGGCTCTACCAATCGAAGGAGTTAGAGAACCATATTTGACCAAAAAAAAATGGATGTAGTCTTATTTATGAAATCTAATCATTTTCTTTAAAAAAAAAGGGGGGGGGGGGTTAAATTGAAGAAAAATAATAATAAGCAATTGCGCACCCAATTTATGATTTCAAGCATGTCAGTCATTATGATTCAAATTTTCTAAAACATCATTTATTCTTGTTTTTTCTAATATATTTTTTCCGTATTATAGAAGTTCTCTAGTCCTCCCCTGAGTCCTCCGTATAAAAGCACATTGAAACTTTTCAGATCTTTTTAAATCCACTTGGTATCAAATAAATGATTTACACATGTTGAATGCGTCGAGACAATTAACCATCTGAAACTTAAAACTCTAAAGGTAACTAAAAGAAGCTGCATAATTGATTTGTGATTGTTCCACTGGCAAATATTTCATGTATATTGAGGAAGAGAATAATTCAAATACGTTAGTATTTCAAAAATGGTCCACCGATATCAAAACGGTATTTAAAAATTGCCATATCTTTAATAAAATTGCACAGTATTTTGAAAAGAGCATGAAGCATGTCGAAGTGAATAGTCTTATAAGTCATAGAACTGTGTCATGTGAATGTGTTGTTGGTAAATCCAGAAACACAGGTATTACAATATCAGGTGTTTTTGCATAACGCACGTGGATGGTACATAGATACAAAACGACACGTGTACGGAATTTTAATTCAATATTTATTTAAAACATCAGGCGCGGATCCAGAGCTTAAAGCGGGGTTTTTTTTAAGCGTTTTTGAACATTATAGAGGTTTTCTTGTTATACCGAACTTTATGTTTTTCAAAATAGGCGCACTTTTTTTCATCTGGCATATGGTTACTCAAAATAAACTTACTTTTTAGATTAGTTTAATTATTAAATTACAGATCTTATCCACCCGTTTTGCAGTTGCTGTATCAGCCCTTGCGTCTATTCCACTAGTCGGCTTATCATGTGTGTGTGAGTAAGGTCTTGTGCTCTTTATAAGGCTGATTGGTGGTAGTTTTTTTTCGTGAGATTTACATTCACCATTTGCTATTACCCAATTCTGAACTGGTTTCTTAACAAACTATCCGAGGTTGCGGCCAGTAACGAATAAAATGCGAAATTTGCAGTAAATTCCGTCCTGTGAAGTTGAATAGACAATCCATGGGAAATAGTGCAGCCACGCATATTTGAAACATCTTTTTAACCCGTACATTTCTCGTTTTGGAAAAGGAAAAGAACTAGGTGGGTTTCAGTTTTCATTTAGGATGCTAAAGATTTGAGCACTAGGTACAGATGTGGAAATAGAGTTTGCAATATGCTTAGATTCAGCAGGTATCTTAATTTACCGATTAATTATAGAATATGTTTTAATTGTAACAATAATACAATTGAAGATGATGAGAAACGTGTAATTTATATGTGAAGTTGTAATTTTATGTAAATGTGTTGTAAGACTGAGGTGAGTATTCAATAAAATATTAAAATATAGGGATAGCAGTCTTGGATTGTCTTAATTAAATCCCTTGATCCTCTAATTATCCCCCCCCCCCCCCAGGCCATGTAATTATGACATGTGTATATTTAACGGAGTGTAGCGACATTGTGTCACCCTATTAATTAAGTGCTCACTGGATATTTAATTTATTATAGTAAAGATAACATGAAAATAAGGAAATGATTTATAATACAAAAATTATTTTTAAGATTTTCAAGCAGGGGGGGACCTCCACCCCCCCCACACACACACAAAAAAAAAAACAAAAAAAAACCAACCCTAAATCCGCTAGTGAACATATCAATATCCATTCAAACTGGGCAGTATCTAATCAATTTAAACGAGAAAACACAGTATATAGCATTTAAAAGAAACGCCACGGTAAATCGCAAAAATCAAAGAAGCACAACTCTTTCTGCGTGGGTGCATTTGAGGAAAACCACAGATACACTGGATTTGACAGTTTGACACAATCATTAAACTGTTTTTGTGCTGCTATTCGTCATTCTTATTTAAAACGCGGCAACGTTAGGATAACCTTGAGCTGATATGCATAATACTACTTATCCGAACGGACGGATTTTTTCTACATGTCCTACGATAAATAAATACTACGATTAGATATTTTAACTTATGTAATTTTAAGTTATGCAGGGATTGAAGACAATAGTTAATAGATAATAGTTTTAATGAGTATGATTGTATTTAAATAGAGTAGAAATCGTTTTTATTAATTTTACTTATATTTTTGCAAGTTTAATTTAATCGTTAATTTTCACATGTTCAGTACAATTATGTTGAAACAAAGTTACATTTTCGTCTTCAGATAACAGTATTTTCCAAAGAGTTTATTACAGCGTAGAAAGTTAAATGTGAACCTTAACGGGAGTCCTAAATTTTCTAACACCGTCAGTAGGTCAGCCTAGTCATTTAGAGTTCAAATAATAGTCGTTTGCAAATGCAGCTGGTGGCGATTTAATGACTTTGTTTTGATCATCTATGGGAATCAGGTTAACTTAGTGTGAAATTTTATGTCTAATGTTGCAGACGTAAACAGTTCGTCTTTATTCTGATTGAAACAATGACACTTCCATGTAATGGATTGGCTAATCGTAGTTGTGAATCTGACCATTAATTAAATTTCGTCAAATCAAGACATAGAACCACGCGAAAGTAATGTGTTTCTATACCTAATGTGTATATAGTCATTTCAAATTTTAAAAGAGCTCTGAAGGATATGTACTACTTTTTGATAACATCTCCACCTGATAAAACTAATGTATTGTAAACGAGGTCAGCTGACACACTTATTTTCCACAATTATTTTCTACAAGATGATTTATTCGTTGTTTAAGGAACGATAGCACATTTAACAAAAATATGGCTTATAAGACGACACGAGTTGTCTTTTTTGTACAAAATACTGTACCAGATTGAAGACAGGTATCCTGTAAGCATTTATAAATAAAACGTAAGGAAGGCGACGATCGTCAAATGAATATAACCAATAGATGATCATAAAAATAGAATTCTATAGATTAATAAATTACGGAACTTGTTAGCAGTGCCCACAAAATTGATTTTCGGACATATCAAATTTTATTTGTTATGCATAATTATGAAATTCAATAGTTTTCAAAATTATGGGCTCGCTAAGTGCCCCGACTGATAAATAAACCGAATTTTTATAAGATATAAAAATAGTGTTCTTTTGTTTGTGATTAGATAAAAGAAAACTAAAAATAGAAGGGTCAATAGCTTACTTCAATATGTTGTTGCTTAAAATGTACGTATTAACGAAACGTACTGTTTATTTAACGTATGTTCAATTCAAAACATACACTAAATAAATTGACTAATTAAGGTAAGGAATTAATTCAAAGATTTGTTTTAGCCTTCTGCGAAGATTGTGAAAACGCTGTATTAGGTTGGTTTATTGATGTTCACACACATGGCTCATGATAAAAATTTATAATTGCATTAGAAGGATACAAATCAAAATTAGAATAAAAATAGCTGAGGGAATTGCATGATCCCAAAAAGAGTGCGCGATCTGATCCTTTTCAGAGTATGCGTCTCCTGCTAAGAATGTATTTCCTGCCATCCGAATTCACAGAGGAATGCTTGCTAACTAACATGACCTTTATAAACTGTTAACATCTGGGTCAATATTCTTAATGTGCCTCAAGCTGAAGAACACAACTATAAATAGAAATAAACTAGAAATTGGACACGATGCAATTTCAGGTCGTTGACTGAGCTCAATTGTGTTATTTTGAAGAGGAAGACTGTACAAAAAGATGTAGTACCTTTTGAGGTAAGTAAAGAACTGCATTTATTGAGAATTTGAGAATGTGAATATAGGGACCTGTTACTCGTTGGAGCCAAATCTCATGAGGTCTTTCGAACTGATGAAAAATGTAATCACAGTTCGTACCCCCGAATACTTAACCACATCTGTGAAAATGTCTAACTTTCTAAAAGAGCCATATTTATCCACGTTTACGATATTGACAGTAAAATGGAAGAAAAGGTTATCATTTTTGCCTAGCTGAAATTAATTGCGCATATTGACCCATCTTGAAAAAACAAGAAAATTGATAACGAATTTCAAGATTATCCTAGAAATGCCAAATAAGCTTACTCCTATGTTTTTGTCATTTAAATAATTTGATGTCAATGACAGATTTTAATATTTTGTGTTAAATTTATAAACAACTTGTTGATTTTACATCCCCGATCGTTCAACGAAGAATATAAAAGTCCTTATGTCTGTCTGTCTGTGCGTCCATCAACCTTCTGGGTTTCAGATGTTAAAGAGAGAACTGCTGTTTGAAATTTATTGATTTTTTATGGAATGTTTTAGATCATTTAACAGAGGTTAAGTTCGAGTTTCGTCAATTTGAGTTTACTGTTCAAAAGTTCTTGTACTTAATTATTGAAAAAAGTAAAAACAAATGTTTGGTTTCACGTATGATAAATGGAAAACCCTTATTGAAATTCATTGTAATTTTAATGGAATGATTTTGACCACTAAACAAAATCATGATCTCTCAGTTGCTGCGGGCAGGGTTTTTGATTTTTGTTTTTTTTTGTTCGTCTGCTCATTCGTCGGTTAGTCAATTTGTTCTTCCTACCATCTGTCCCCCAACCAGTCCGTTTATCACTCTCTTGTATCCACTACTGCTCTTGAACAGCATGATAGAAAATTTGAAGCTCTTATAATCTATACCACATAATGTCATTGTGCTCCTATTATTATTTTTTATTTCCATCATTTTTGTGGTTTCCTTTTGCAAGTCATAGACTGCATTTGCTTTATCTGTGGGGTACCCATTATGTATTAGCAGCTCCTCCTAACCATGCACAGCACTCAAATAAATTTATTGAAACTGTACCACAATCTTAATTACATAATGCCGTTGTGCATCTGTTACTAGTAACCCTGGTTTGAATGAGGGGGTATATTACTTTATCTCATTATCAATTTAAGAAGGTGTAAGGCGTTTGACCGTCAGTTTTAAAATGTCATGCATTAGCTCATGCTCTGATCAAATGACCACAAACTTAAGCAACTGCTTATTTTTGAGGAACCATGAAATATATATATACTAGTAGTAAATTTTGACAATATAATTTTCAGATAATTGTTGAACATGAAGTATTTGCTACAATCCCTGATTGTGATCAGCAGTCATATAATTCAAGGTAAATAAATGATTACTGTATATGTTGTATGAATTACAAAAAAAAAAAATTATAAAAAAAAAAACATATTCAAAAACTACTTGAATCTTCTTATTTATTGTTTCGACATGTACAGATGTCAAATTCATATAACAAATGTAATGGCAGATATGAATCTGAATAAATGGCTGTTCCCAGTCACTGCATGGAATTTATCGGTACAAACAGTCCATAAATTTTTGTTGAATGCAGTTTATAAATGAGACGATTTTAATCAATAACTTAAATTATAAAATAGAAATACTATGACTTGATAGTCAGAAAAAACATCTCATTATACCATTGGATTCATTCATAGTTTCTAATCCAATTCCGGGTTACTTAAAAATGTTCTCCTGTCAGGTGGTAACAAAGGTAAAAATGATAAGTAATAATTAGCCTTAAAACTGTTGAGAACATTACGAAGAAAACAGATAATGATACAAAACTGATTGACATTGTGTTATTGAAAATTAGTATTTCTGACAAAATGGCATTCAAAATTTTCAATCTTGACAACTTTTCAAATGGTATCTAAACAAATGTTGGAATTAATTTCTGTCATTTGTACAATATTGTTTTCTAAATCAGTCAAAATTACCAGATATGAATAGATTATTGCTTCGAGGCGGTATTACTACTTTGGGTTTTGTAACGCCTGTGTAAAAGGCACATTAGGTACATGTGTATGAATGTTTCAGAGACATAGACAATGAAGGTAGCATTAATTCATAACCTCAATAACTTATCATCACTTTCAGAATAAAAATAGATTGTATGATGAAACCTTGCCGGGGTGTAGCAGTTATAGTAGTATTTTTATCCTCTTCTGGTTCGTGATCTCTTACAAAAGAGAGGCGAACGATACCAAAGGGACATTCAAATTCATTGTTGAAAGTAAAAATTACCATTTTGATCATCTACCACAACTTTGTACATATAGTTTTCCTTACAAACAGATTTTACGGGACAAAAGTAAGGTCTAACAGAATCTATATTTTCAAGAAACGCTCTAAATTCCTGTGCGCATTGATATCTGTATGGATTATGTTGAGGTCCTTATGTCAAAATAAGAAAATTACCCAGCTATAATCTCTTTAGAATTATAAAATTGGGCAATTATCAGCTGTCACTGACTGCATTCCGCATCTGTGCACCTAAGTACAACGACTAAAAGACAGACAAGCATTCCATGTCTAGCTTAAATGGCCTATCCATGCGAGTAATGACATTAATTTTGTTTTCGGTAATATTGTTTATAAAGCACATACACGTGCACTTATATACGAAATACGGTAAACTTATTGAATCTTTGTTTAACTAATTATATTCTGAAAATCATTATATAGATTTATAGATTAACTCCAACAGAGTTATGAGGAGGAAAGATTAAATGACACTCCGTAAACTTTATGGACACCATCATGAATTGGTTGCTCTATACGATGTGTCTGTGTCTAAACTAACTAACGACATTTTTACCACGTCTTAGATTGTGGTTAACCATCTACGTCGTCTGGTCTAAGTACCGAACGTGACCTATTCCCGAATTTGACTGTTTTGCTGAGTGTAAATTCGCAATGCTATGAGACGTGTCTCGGTATTTGTACATCCAACATTCATGTATTTAGTTATGAGGTTTCATTTGTAATTATGGTTGGATGTTGTTTAATGTCTTATCGTTTGTGGTTTTAATTCTTTTTTTATTTTCTATATGTATGTAACAGTAAAGATATTAATCACCTAGTTCATTTATATGATTTTTAGTTTAAAGCAACTATATTCACAGGATTTATTTGTCTTTACACGGTTTGATTTAGATGGAAAACCGACATGGTTATAAAATACAAATAATTACACCATTGCTAACACAATTCTATATTGATATTCTTGTAATGGTTAGAAAATACACCAAATAACACCATTACAAACTTAATCCCAATTTTATATTCTATATTTAGAAATTTACCTGTAACGTCACTTTTTTGTGGCGTTGATATATTCGCGTGACGCACTGTTCATTATTCTATTGTGCTGTATATGTGTATTTGTGTTCTGTCGTAAATTGATTTTAGGTGTTCGTTGTTATTCTGTAGTTTACATGTTGAAATGTACTATCTTATTATTTATTTATTTATGTATTTCTCTGTCCTGAATGTTCTTTCATTTATTTGTACTGTATTCCTGTCACGTAATATGTCATTTTAGCGGTATTTTTAACATTGCCATATAGGCGGGAGGTTTGGCTAGCCATAAAACCAGGTTCAACCCATCATTTTTTTCTAATAATGTCCTGTACCAAGTCAGGAATATGCCAGTTGTTATCACATAGTCCGTTTCTATGTATGTTGGCGTTTGTTTTTGTAGCAGTTCAGTGTTTCTGTTGTTCCGTTTTGTTTCCTCTTATAGTTGGTGTGTTTCCCTCAGTTTTGGTTTGTGACCCGGATTTGTTTCAGTTAAATCGATTTATGACTATTGAACAGCGGTATACTACTATTGCCTTTATTTAGCACCATAGTAAATTTCTGAAAATTGTTTTCATAGTTGCTATGATTTTGTTTTTAATAAATTATGATATAGCGAAATATGTATTTCTGCATACATATAAATTGCACAAGGTCATGCTTTTCTCAGACTGTGTATGACAACTTTACACACAAACTATTAAATGTGCTGATTGGATTTCTATGAATTTTATTTCTGAAAACTATTTCTATGGTGTAAAATTGAAATCCCCATCCTAACCCCACCTCTAATTCTAACCTTAGCTGTATCTCGAACCCTAAGCCTTACAGTTTGAAGGGGTCAATTAAATTATTTAAAATATGCATACATTTTATTGCTTAGAAAACCCAAACATAATAAAGAAAAGGTATCTACTCACTAGATTAAAACAAAAGACAGGTAGTGTTATTTAACATTCAGGAGGATGACACGTTCTGTATGTTTATACATGCTATACTTTGTTTGATTTCAGATATAAGTGCTACACAAACCAATGCTCCCGCCAGTAACAGAAGTTTGGCTGAACGTGAAGTGTAAGTAGGAAATCTAACTTTATATATATCTAATTAGATTCGAAATGAAATACCAGTTCTACAATAAAGCGTTTTTCTACGGGTATTACACGAAACAGTTTTGCATTTTCTATTTTGGGAGCTAGAATTCAACAAATTCCTGAATAATTGTTTGTACTGATCCTGAATTGTATATAGGTTAAATAATTTTATACACTTCTATCTAATGTTTCTGTCTAGTGGAATCAGGAAAACACTGACCAAAGTCAAGTCTGACCAAAACATTTAAACCAATTCTAAGACAATGTGGACCAGTTTAAAAGGCAACTTGAATTATTTCTAAAGTCAATTGTGACGAGTTTGTAGTCACCTCGTCTTAGCACCACATAAAAGAATGCGTCTTATTAGTTTCAAAGACCACTCAGACCACTTCAAAAATGGCTGAGAAAATTATTTCATCATTAGTTAAAGAGTTTCTGCTTCTTATGTTCAGTGCATAGTTATCATCTATAGGCATATTTAACATATTGTTATTGGCTTTTTGATTCTAATCACTGTTTATGTTGATGCATGGATCTGATGATTATGATGATTATTGTTTTGGATCATTTACATTTTTAAAATTACGATTACAGATTACGATAACCCCATCCCTGAAATAAACAACATTTCGGGAAGTTACTACAAAATTCAGCCTATTTTAATTTAGATTCCCCTTTATATGTTCAATGAGTTGGTCTGATCACTTATATTGATGTCTTCGTTTTGTAAAAAGTGATAGTAATATATCTATATGTTTAAATCAAACAAGGGTTGAGATCTCATAAACATGTTTAACCCCGCCGCATTTTTGCAATATCTTTAAAAAGATACGGCATAAGAGGACGGCCATTTGATATTTGAGTATCATTGAAGCTTTTTGAGTAAAATTGAGAATGGAAATGGGGAATGTGTCAAAGAGACAACAACCCGACCATAGAACAGACAACAGCAGAAGGTCACCAACAGGTCTTCAATGCAGCGAGAAATTCCCGCACCCGGAGGCGTCCTTCAGCTGGCCCCTAAACAAATATATATACTAGTTCAGTGATAATGAACGCCATACTTAACTCCAAGTTGTACACAAGAAACTAAAATTAAAAATAATACAAGACTGACAAAGGCTAGAGGCTCCTGACTTGGGACAGGCGCAAAAATGCGGCGGGGTTAAACATGTTTATGAGATCTCAACCCTTGTTTGATTTAAACATATAGATATATTACTATCACTTTATACAAAACGAAGACATTAATATAAGTGATCAGACCAACTCATTGAACATATAAAGGGGAATCTAAATTAAAATCGGCTGAATTTTGTAGTAACTTGCCAAAATGTTGTTTATATCAGGGATGGGGTTATCGTAATCTGTAATCGTAATTTTCTATCAAATACTTGAAAATACTTTAAAGACTTGTTTTTTCTTAAAATAAGAAAACAAATTAAAGTAAGAAAAACGATTAAAATATGAAAACTGTCTTGATTTAATTGAGGTACAACATTGGAGTAAAAAGCTTGATTGTATTAAAATTACTAAAAGCATAATTTGCAGTAAGAGTTGGGAGTTAAGGTTAGGTTGGATAACATTTTATTCATCATAATGCTATGATATAAAGATAAGGAAATGATACACCATCATCTTGACCATGTTGACAATGAACAAATGCATTCATATTTCTGATCAGTAATAGATACTTGTATTCCATTGAGACAATAAAAGTATACATATATTTGTTTATAAATTAAGATAAAGAATAAAGAATGCTCACTTGACTTCTTGTCTTTACTAATCAGATTATCAGACTTTTAATCAATGACAACTGTTTTGATAACAAACATGTCTAATAAAGTGTGAAATTTACATTATATTGCTCTATGTTATAAATGTTACTCCAAAACCAGTTACATAACCTGTAATTAAGGATATTATTAAAACAAACAGATACAATTCATGCATGTAATTATAAAATTGAAATCTATGAAATAAGCTGAAAAATTTTTCTATCTTTTTTATATAAATATTTTTCAGAGGAAAACTCAAACATTGTACTAAACTTCATTCAAATAAAGTTGTCAATAATGAATACAAATAAACAAAAAAACTAAAGACAGTATGTCAGCAAAAATGTTGAAAATATGGAGAAAGCAAATGAACTTATATATTAAAAAATGAAGTTAAGGAGGCAATGGTCAATTTCATTACAAGAACTATTTCAATCTCTCTTGATGAAAACCAAACTTCCAAGAATTTTTACAGTTTTCTGAACCTCTGTAAAAGAGGGACGAAAGATACCAGAGGGACAGTCAAACTCATAGATAAGTAAGAGCTTCGATCTAGATAACCACTGTCAACATAACATTTTAAAATAATGCTTAAATAATTTTTAAGTTCTAAATTTCAACTATATATATGTTGAGCAACATAATAAGGTCTTTCGACTTTGCCGTGGAAAGACCTTTTCATTTTGTTTTAATTATTATTTCTATTCTTCTTCCACCAATTTGTTTTCTTGCGATGTATAGTGGTTTTGCAAGATGTCGCTTAGATATTTTGCATCTATTATATCGAAGAGTTATTGTGCTTTTGAAACTCATCCTGTTTAGCTGATGATTTTGTATTGAAAATGTAATCTCCCTAAATTTATACTGTTTTTCTTGTGAGTGTATCTCCTCCGTAACAAACAAAAAAAAAAAAATAAAAAAATAAAAAACAACGAAATTGTTTTTTTCTTACTTCGATATATTCGATATAAGAAGATGTGGTATGAGTGCCAATGAGACAACTCTCCATCCAAGTCAAAATTTATAACAGTAAACCATTATAGTTCAAAGTACGGTCTTCAACACGGAGCTTTGGTTCACATCGAACAGCAAGCTATAAAAGGCCCAAAAAATTACTAGTGTAAAACCATTCAAACGGGAAAACCAACGGTCTAATCTATATAAAAAACGAGAAACGAGAAACACTTATGAACCACATTAACAAACGACAACTACTGAACATCAGATTCCTAAATAATTGTTTGTACTGATCCTGAATTGTATATAGGTTAAATAATTTAATACTCTTCTATCTAATGTTTCTGTCTAGTGGAATCAGGAAAACACTGACCAAAGTACTTGTTTGTTACACCCTCAGGAAGTTTAGACTGGTTTGGACCGAAACAACCAGTGATATCTAATAAGAGTTATCTATCTTTAACAATTAAATTTGACGTTATGTTTTTGTAAATCATAAATCACATTTGAGGTCCTGGGGTTCTAACTTAGAAAATGAGGTCAAGGTCAAAAGTCAAGGTAATGTTTTAAATCTTAACATTAACTTCATTTCCGTTCTGCTATGAAAGACTGAAAGTATCGACAAAAACATTTCAACCAATATGTTAGTCGCAACATGTCATAACTGGAAAAAAATTCTCAAAATGATACGCGTCGGGGTCAATGCTTTTGAAATGGTCAAATCAACAAATTACTTATTATAATTCAAAATTTGCAGCTATTATGATATACAGGTATCTTATCTTAATCAATTAACGAAGGTCCAACATCACCGCCCCCTCCCCTTGTTTCATTTTAAGGGATCATCTTTTAAAATGAAAATTGCCTTTCGTCCCGTAACTTTTACTATAAAAATGCAACCCAACTTATGTACAAACTTCTAAAATAGAAATCCTTCTCTGCAAAAATCTGATCCAATTCATGTTTTTTCTGAAAATAATCGATAACCCTTTTGTTAAATTACTATAACAACAGCATTTTTTATGCAATGAGTGAAGACCCGTGGATAGTGACTAGACATCAGTTCACCTCTAAATGAATAAAAAAGTATTTTCCCGTTGATATACACTATAAATCGTGTGCGATCCACTTGTCGTCCTGACCTGGACTAAAATCAATGGCATAGAAATTGCTCCTGAGTTCATAAATATAAATGTAATCCTTCAAATAAAATTTTAAACATGCATTAAAATACAAATCTGTGCTCCCATAACACCCGTCATATTATGTATTTTTTTCTGAAAATAATCGATAAACGAGTAATAAATGTTTGATCATGCACGTTATTTTTTTTGTACATATGATTCATGTGGAATTAAAAAACACACACAATAATCATATGTACAAAAAAGCATGCATGATCAAACATCAATTACCTGTAATAAATACAATCAATAGTTAGTATGTTGTTCTATCAATACACATGTTGTCTGTTCAACCTCCTTCCCTGAAAAAAATCATTTTGACTATAGCATATGTTTCGTGACTTCACAATCACGCCATCTCTAGCACGTTAAATTAAAACAGGGGATTTCCACATTAGAATAGAATTAGAAATGTACAGCTAAATTCAACAAAAGTTATATGATCTACTTGTAAAAACGACTTTCCTACAAAATTGAAAAAAAATGCACTTTCAGCATATAAATAAAACACAAATCTCGGGAGACCTTATAAAAAGGATAAGACATTTATAAAGGAAGATGCAGCGATATTTTGGATAAGTGCATGTTCCTAGAAACGTCATAATTTATATACAAATAAGCATATTGCAAGGAGCCGAAAAAAAAGAGATCCTGCTTGTTTTTAGAAACAATGTCTAATGTGTTTAATATGGAATCTAAGCGCTCCCTTCTTTTTTCCTTGTTCCTACAGGCCCGGACCCATGTGTTAAACATGAGATCTAAGCTCGCCCTACCTTTTTCGCATGTTCCTACAGGCCTGGTCCCATGTCTTTAAAAGGGGATTTAGGCTCGCTCTTCCTTTTTTGCATGTCCCTGAAAGGGAATCGTTCCTAGAGCATGTAGAGGCCCGGTCCCGTGGGTTTAACAGGGGATCTATGCTCTACTTTTTGTAGCTTGTAATTGACAGTATTCAAAAAGCAATGTAAAATGATTTGGTGTTTATTCATCTGTTCATTAATAAGAAAAAACAATAGTAAAAACTGTTATAAATGGTCAATTGCTATCGAAGTTAGAGGCTAAAATTTAATGTATTGGTTTTTACACCATTCTTTACATTGGCCAAAGATACCAGGTAAGCCATGCAGGTTCTTTATTGTGGTCAATGATACCAGATAAGCCACACAGGCCGTTTATTAATGTAACAATTTCTATTTTTTTTTATTTCAGAGCTGCTTTAATAACTGGAGTTTTGGTATTAGTTTCATTGGTGATAACCCTTTACTTTTGGCAAAGACACACAAGAAACAGAAATGACAGCAAAAAAAATAAAGGTATATTATTTATATGCAACACCAAATGGATTTTGACTATAGTATCTGTCAATGATTTTAGTAGGAATTAATTTTATAATTGTTCAAAATAGAAATACGGATATTGGGTATAGTGCTAAATTGACAATAGGACAACTGTTAATTAAAGTCTGAATCAGATGAAATTAATGTTCAAACGCTAAATTAGGCATTGGTTACATTTTATAGATAAATAAAAAAAATGTATATGTACACTGCAGTTCTTTGTAGTATTCCAACTAAAAAACATATACCGGTAGATACATTTGCAATATTTTCATAATTAGATACAAAGAAAACAGACTTTAGATGAACAGTTTAAGTTTGAACTTTTTTACCCTTAATATTAAACTGATTAAAACAATTGCAGGCAGGGATATTCATCAAGAATATAAAAAGAGAATAAAAATCAAATAGGATCAGTTTCTAGCTCACCTAACCCAAAGGGTCAAGTGAGCTTTCCTCATTACTTTGCGTCCGTTGTCATCATCCTTAAATTTTACAAAAATCATGTCATCTGAAACTTCTAGACCAACTTGAACCAAACTTGGCTACAATCATCATTTGGAAATTCATTTTGGCAAATCTGTCCGATGATCCTGCCTTCCAAACAACATGACCGACATGCCAAAGATAGAACGAAGGGGAAAAATGCAAATGTTGTCTGTAATCTTGAAACCTGCCGTAGAAAGAAAATCTGACAGGTTAAGAAACGGTTAAAGTGTTGAGATTTTCATACAGTCCTTAAAATCATAAAATGTAAGATGACTCCTTATAGGAGTTAATGCCCTTAAACTACGGTGTTTACCAATTTTATTTATTTTTGCCTATTATCTTAAAAAATAAACTATAAAATAAATAGGAACTTAAAATTTCAAAAATGATCAGCAAGACAAGATCTGCAAATAATTCAACATGGTCGACATAGTAGGTCAACGTAGTTATTGTCCCCAAAGGACGATTTTTAGGTTTTTTTTCTTATTATCTTGAATACTAAATAAAGAGAAACTTAAAATCGGAAAAGTGATCTACTAATTATACATGGCTGTTTAATCCTTATATACAGTAATTGCTCTTGAATGACGAGTTTTTTTAGCAGGACAAGATATACAATTGAGTTAACATTGCTCTAATTGTCAGCCGAATCCCTTTAGGAGTAATTGCCCTTGAAAGACGAGTTTTACTCTTTTATATTTGTTTTGCTAAATCTATAGAAGATAATGAGAAAACTATACACAACAAAAAAGACAATTGAATCAAGATCTACAAATAGGCCAACAAAGCCCGAATAGTAAGTCGGCTTTTTTTTCAATTTCATATTTTACACTTTGGGTAAAACTATAAATGATAGGGACCAGCAAGAAAAACAGTAAAAAAATATCAGCAGTTGAAGATCAATATAAAATGTGATCTTTGTCATGAATTATATTTGAGTCTTCGATGTTGAATAGATTCCATTGTTGAAATGGCCATAAACAAAGTGAGCGACACATGCCCTTTAGAGCCTCTAGTTTTATACCCTTTACAGACAGTAACAGGATAACATGTCTATACCTTTATATCTACATTTGGTTATGAAATCTATCAGTTGTGTGGACTTTTACTGCGTCAGATAATAAACTGATGTTGTGTACTTTAGTGTACTAGTATAAGGATTGCAATTAGATATGGTTAGTGATTAGTTCGGTTCACATAATAACGGCCTCAAGACTTATAAAATGTCATTAGAATGTTGTTTTCTGGACTTTTTTTACTGACTGCAGATACATGTATGGAGCTGATATTTGTATATGTCCTTCCTAATGACTTACAGGTCGAGCTTTTGTTTCTTTGTTGTTAACTGACTTTTCACGAAGTTTGAGTTTGCATTTTATTTGTGATGTGAAACACTAAGTCTTGTCAGACATACCACTCTTGAAATATCAGGAATATATGACACTTAACTATTATAGTTTATCTGCATTTGCCAAAGTAGGCCGAGGTGCGAATTACAGTTAGAAATATTGAATAATTTAAATTGATAAGATAGAGAGAAAAATTCGTTAGGCCAATACTACTGACGAAATGATGCACCATGGACATTATTTTTTCTTCGACCATTCAACTGATTCTAGTCACAACACTTCTATTGAAATTTTAACATTCGTTTTTTAGCAATGGCATTGTCAGTTTGTGGATTTGGATATTTGTATGTCCTTTTTAGTCGTATAGCTCTTCAACTGTTTCGGTTCTTATACATCCTTGGCTTTCAAATATTTGGCATTGAGCGTTCCTGATGAAGGTAAATTCAGAAAAGCGTTTAGGACACATGAAATTTATAACGTGTTGTTTTCTTTTTTTTTTTAATTTCCTTGGTATCTTTCGTTTCTCTTCAACATAAGATACATGATATCTATTTACCAGAGGTAATGCATCAACGGATATTATCATGTTACTTATTTTAGAGGAAATGATGACTCTTACAGAACGTACGAGTTCATCGCCGCATTTGAAAACAAAGCTTAACAATCCAAACACAAGCAATTTGTTTATTGTCCGTTCAGTTTGTTTCTGTTTGAACGTTTTGTTTTTGTATATCTATTTATATCTGAAAAGAAGGGTAGAAGATACAAAAGGAACATTAAAAAATTAGAAGTCCAAAACAAACAAAAAAACGACAAAAAGACCAAGTCAACAAAACACTTAATAGAAAACTGAAGACTGAGCCACATGAAAACAACACAAAATCGGGGTGAACTCAAGTGATTTCGAAGGGTAAGCAGTGCATGTTCCATATATGGCACCTCTCGTATTGATTTTGTTAGTACAACACCGGTGATAAGTCTTATGCAATGATGTCACAATCGAGGAAAAGATGTCAGGGTTTTGGTTACAACAATTGAAAAATATCCATGATCATCTGTGACACTAATGTTTCATAAATGTCAACCAACTCATCATGGCGTCTGCATACTTTTGACAGAATGACTTCAACTCTACCTCTTGGAACCTTTAGTTCAATAGCACATTTGTAAGCAGCAAACATTGTTAATTATTTCATGATAGGGAAACGGAAGCTCTTGAATATCGTATTAAATGGGACATATATAATCAATATCCAGGCGCTACTTGAATGTAGCTACATACAAATGGGAAGTTGTAACCATTCCTTTTGTCGTTATGTTTTGTTTTTCAGAAGATCCTCATTGTCAATTTCTTGATGTAAGTTAAGATATGTTGCAGATTTAACTGTATCTGTGGTATCTTTTATTACAAGTTCTAGGGGACATATACTAACAGAATTATTGATATATTATGAAATATTATCTAGTTCTTTTACTGATGGTTTTTCAAGTAACCGTTCTCGTTCATCACGTTTAAATTATAATGCTGTATTACCAAAAACAAAGTATACGATGGTAAAGCGAAAGGTATTTCTGTGCACTTAATTTTCATGGCCAAAAAGCATAAACTACATTCAAAACATGAACCAAGTTAATATTTTATAATCAACAAAAGTGTAGTAAAGACACTGTAACTACTTTGATGCCTGTACCAAGTCAGGATTTCATTATTCTTCTTCTTTTCTATTCTGAAAGGGGTACCAATAATACTCGTATGTAGCTATAACATATCGTAGAATTAAAAAAAGAAAGTGATATAAAGAAAACGGTATATCTGGAGGTAACTTTGAAATTGACAAAAAATCATTATTAACAACTTTTCTCAAACTTTGTCAAAACACTTAATGTGTAAATTTGAGAGTTTAACATTAATACACAAACACATATTTTATATGTTATTCAGGTTTTAGATAGGGAATAGAGTGTGACATTGCAGAAAAAATAATTTTCCCGTATGGGCAATACTTTATGAAAACACTTTTAGCCATTAACTTAGTATTTTGAGTGTTAATCGCGTGATGTTAAATAAAAAACGTATTATTTATGGATACTCATCATTATTGACCCTTTGTCAGCCTCTGTCATTATTCAACTGTTCTGTAGAGATTAAGACTACATAAAATAGTAACGCCCTTGAATTTTAACTAGATAACATTTTTGTTCGCTATGGATATTCCGTATATCGTCAGGTAATCGGAATTCCCATGGGGTCTAACTGTGCACCACTTATTGCGGACCTGTATCTGTATTGTAATTGGCTCTCAATAGTGACGACTTCAGTATGTACACTTAAGAGATTTATCCTGCCGAACTGACTTTAAATAAAGCTAACACTTACAATGAACACTGCCCTTTCCTGGATCTTGATATCTATATCTCTATCGGGAAGATAAAAACCAAAATTTATGATAAAAGAGATGATTTTTCATTTCCTATTGTTATTTATTCATTTTTAGATGGTAAAGTTCCTTTGTCACAACGTATTTGATTTTAACGAAAGAAATCTCTGAAAAATTATTTCACCAGGGTTTTCGATATCACAAACTAGTCAAAACATTTACTAAATTTTATCATCGGTACAAGGACATCATTCGTAAATATAAAGCAACATGCAGACATCTTATACTTTCGGGTATTTCACATCCAATATTTTATGGTAATATTCTTTACAAAGCACACAAATATCGGCATTCACCCCAAAAGTTAACCAAACCTTTAAACAGACTTATTCGGAAAGGATATAGTTACGATAATGTTGTCAAGTCATTAAGGATTGCATATTTTGGTATTAATATTGATTCACTCATAGGGTCTTTGCATCGGAAATAAACACATTTTTCTAAAAACCAGTTATTGGCATTATACGGGTTATGTTCTTCCCATATATTTTATGATGGTATGATACTAAAACCCTTACGAGAGGGATTGTACTTGATTTACATATGATGAAGACATAATCTGTTTAATTGAGGTCTGGAGCTGGCATGTCAGTAACTGCTAGTAGTCCTTTGTTCATTTATGTGTTATTGTCATTTTGCTTAGTTTCTTTTGTTACCTTTTCTGACATCGGATTCGGACTTCTTTTGAACTGAGTTTTAC